AGGAGGAGGAGGAGGAGAAGGAGGAGGAGGTGGACGACGATGACGACAATGACTGTGGGGTCCTTGGTGCTCTCTGAGCTTGCAGACATTTTATTACCAAAATAGCTAACATCATCAGTGCTAGGGGTTAGTGTTAGCCTCCTCCTCCTCCTCCCCCCACTCCCTTACAACACTGATGATGTTACCTAGTTTGATAACTAAACGTCTACAAGAAAACCACCAAGCTCAGAGAGCACCAAGGACCCCACAGTTCAATCCCGAGTTACATTATCTTCTCTTCTAGCTTGCTAACTGTTTCAGGTGTCAATTTGTGATATCCGGAGCAACACAATTCCGCCCAAATTCCCAGGCAAAGTCTCTCTCAATTTCATTCTGCAGGTCAACACTCCATAAACATGGACATTCTTTGACGTAAGCATGAATTATTCAGGAACTTAAAGAGGCAAATTTGGTTTCTGAAATACGCCTGAATCCCCTGTAATTAGCAAACCAACAACCTGGAATAACTCGTCACTGGAGGCTTTTAAGAAGAGACTGGACAGCCATTTGTCTGGAATGGCATAGGCTCTCCTGAATGAGCAGAGGGTGGGACTACAAGACCCCCAAGGTCCCTTCCAACTCTGTTGTTCTGTGCTCAATGTTCAGTCAACCTGAACAGAGTTATATCGGAGCAATATTTTTTTATTTCCATTTGGCTATGCTTTCCAAGAGAGGATTAGAAACTGGGAAGCTGTGCAAAGGCTAAACAAGAAGTGGTTTGGAGGATAAGATTTCATTAACTTGAAGAGAGGGGAAAATAAACCTATTTGCAAAGCTTAACAGAGGCATTCCATGCCTCTTACTGTTGAGACTTTGAATGTTCCCATCGTAATGTTGAAATGGGGTACAGAAACGCGTCTTGCATTTCTCTCAGCTCCTCCAGTCGAAAAATGGGAAAGTTCCACTTTTAAAATATGCACGTTTTCCATCAAGAGCGCAAGGATTTTTTTCCTTTAAACCTAATTTTTGAAAATTCAACAAAAAGGACAGTGGGGATATCAATCCAAGGGGACCAGGATGGCCTAATCGGGAAGGTTTACCCACACACACAACATACACAGCTAAAAAATATTGGCAGAAACACTCTACAAAATCAAAGCTGGTTGATGGTGTGTACATAGAAACATGTGCAGGAAATCCCGTCTTGTGGTTACGCACCAAACTATTTATCCTTCCTATGTGAGCGTCACCGGCGACTAGCGAAATCTCAAGGAAACGGTTCCAAATCATATAAGCCGGCGGATTAAAAACCAAAATTCAGTATGGCTCAGATCAACTTGGGAGGTTTTGCTGGTTGACTTGACAAGTCGACGTCTCAAAATTCCCAACTGCATTACGCATTCGGTGGGATGTGAACCTTGCCAAGGAAGGCTAAACAGAAAACCAAAGGAAATCCCTCGGACTTTAGGAAAACAATCCTAATACACTAGTGGCCACAACCTTGTGGGAAAAGCGTATTTTTGAGGTTTGGTGGCTAATAACACCACTTTTTTTGGGGGGGGAGTAGTACCATAAAATTATATATCAATGGAAAGATAATTTAATCAAGAATGTAACGCGACAAAGTTTGTTCAATGATCTGTACTGTATTCTATGAAAAGTTATAGCCAAATAACCAGAAAAAGGAAGCACAACTTGCTTAGGTTGATCTCAGGTAGCTTTCCTTCACCTGATTGTAGCCAATGAGCATGAATGTTTAGAGAGCCAATCGGGTGTCATCTTGTTTTGGCAATGAGCCAATCAGATCACAGTAGGATTCAGTGATTGATGTCGTGTATTGAAGCTGAGAGGAGGACATTTGTCAGTGTGTGATGTGATCGCTATCAAGTTGGTTGGGTTTTTTGTGTTCTTTCATTGAGTGAGCTTGTAAAATGTAATAAAATTAAGGTAATGGTGCAAAGAGTTGATTGGTCACCCAGAAAGCGATGTAAAATAGTATTATTAAGTGAACAAGGCTACAGTTATAAAGAAATTAGAAGAAAAATGGGTGGAAACTTAACCAAAGGTGGCATTTCTACTGTACACTTTTCCCAAAAGGTTTCCACAATTTTGGCCACTACTATACATATCCCAGACAGTTAACAGGGAACAATTTTCTTAGCATCTTCACTTTGTTCTGTTTGGTATACCTAAACAAAATTGTTTCAAAACATGTCCTTATGCAACACGCTGATTTGTTACAAAATTTGGAACAAGCATCTGACTTGTTCTTAAATGTCAGATCCCACCTAAGAGTTTGATCTCTTTCAAGGCAATGTCTCCCCTTCGTGTTGTTTACACCGGGTCTGAAGCTGTTTTGCAAATGCAAGTGGATAGTTGTGACTTTCATATCTGTCTACAAGTATCAAATGCAGAAGGAACAAATATTTCGGGTTACAAACTCACTGAACTGAGTTTGATTCTGCAGACATACAGTATATTCTGTTATTTTCCAGGGAACGATCTCCGTTGCTCTTGTTTTCTTCTAGGGTTTTTAGATAGATAGATAGATAGATAGATAGATAGATAGATAGATAGATAGATAGATAGATAGATAGATAGATAGATAGATAGATAGATAGATAGATAGATAGATAGATAGATAGATAGATAGATAGATAGATAGATAGATAGATAGATAGATAGATAGATAGATAGATAGATAGATAGATAGATAGATAGATAGATAGAT